AGCAAAAATTGCAAAAAAATTAATCAAACTTCAAAAATTGTCATCAAAATTCCAATTGTTGTTTAAATAAAAAAAAAAGTTTTCGCCGTTACACAAAAATACAGGATTTTGGAGTTCATTTGAATCCATGTATTTACATTATATTTAAAAACTTTTAACTTTTCGTGAATGACACACTTAAAATTGTAAGTAGAATTGTTAGTTGGTAAATCTGGAAGGTACTTTTAGGGTGCAACAGGCCGTTATTAAATTGAGCAGGGCGGACCTGTGAGGTCACTTGGTATGTACATTAGACTGCATCACCACAAAATTTGCTGTTTTTCCACCGGGATTACAAAATTTATTATATTTGAAGTCTTGCGCCAAAATATTTCGGAAAAATATTAAGACTTACGTGAGATTTTTGATGCCGCCTATACCGATGTAAACTTATGGTATATCAGTGGAAAGGTATTTTCTGATGCTTTTTATTTCTATGCAAAGAAACTATGTCACGTCCCAATTTTTCAAATATCAACACATTTTAATTCAACTTGGTTGTTGTTGTTGTAGCAGCATACAAATTCCCCAAAGACTTTTTGGGGCGTGTTGCTGGAGTGACAGTCCTTGGCCAGATATAAATCTGGGTCGTTCCGGTTACGTAGACCCGACTGTCGTGGGAACGAATTCAACTTGGAATGACGTTCGCTTATCTTACCTTTCTCTTTCATACTTACAATGAGTTTATTTGCATAGAAAGAAAAAGGGCGAGGAAATACCTTTCCAATGATACCCTAAAGTCCAAATCGCTACAGTTTTAGCCAAGTTTTCCAGTTTTTCTTAAACGAATCTTTGAAAAAAAGTTCAAAAACAGCATCAAAAATCTCATTATTTTTTAAAATATTTTTATGCTAATTTTAAGCTTAAGCTAGTTTGTCATCTGAAGTGATTTCTTTCAGAAAAATACTTTAAAAAACTATTTTTATTCATAAAAAAAAAAAAAAAATTTTGGAAGTGTTTTCAAATCGGTCCAACTCCAAATCTTAATATTTTTCCGAAATATTTTGGTGTAAATCTTAAAATATGAAACGATTTTGGAATTCCCTTGGACCATTTTTTTTTTTCAATTTACATATATTTTGATGATTAGGAAAAAGTGTTCACACTTACAGTATCGGTCATATCTATAGCACGCCATTCCAAAGTGATATTGTGTGCCACTTATGTTTATTTATTTATTTTTAAGAATTTTCAATTAAAATACAGTTCATTCTCAGACAAACCCCATATAAACCCAAGTGTAACAATTTGTAGAAAACTACAAAAAAGTGCAACAAATTTTCACCTAAATTTCAAACTTTTTTCTCGGAAGTGTAAGAATTTTTTTGAGTACATAGTTTTTTAGCCCCTTCAATTTTAGTCTGACAATGTGCAAGTTTCAAGTGGCTAAAAGTTACCGTTGCTTTTTTAGAATTTTTTTCGTCAAAGGTGTTGCGGATTTCTTCCATATACAAATAAATTGAGTTTATTCATTATGGAAGCCAATGCGACAAAAAAAATTCTAAAAAATAAACGGTAATTCGTAGCCACTTCAAATTTGCACATTATCAGACTAAAATTGAAGGGGCTAAAAAACTGTGTACTCAAAAAAATCCTAACACTTCCGAGAAAAAAGTTTGAAATTTATGTGAAAATTTGTTGCACTTTTTTGTAGCTTTCTACGAATTTTTAAGCTTGGGTTTGTATCGAATTTGTCTGAGAATGAACTATATTTTAATTGAAAATTCTTAAAAATTAATAAATAAACATAAGTAGCACACAATATCACTTTGAAATGGCGTGCTATAGATATGACCGATACTGTATGTCTGATGCATATCAAGATAATAGAAAAATTAAAATCTTCTGAGAAATAACTTCTACAATCATCATACAAAAAGCGAATAAAACCAGTCAAATGAGCAGTTACTAAATTATTTTACATATACACATGTACATATCTGTGTTCTGTTCCGTATATCTTCATTAGATATATACAAGCATACTTATGTACTTATGTATGAATACTTCAAATGCCAAATCGATTAACTCCATTTTTAAAAAATCTCTTGAATTTAAATGTTAAACCACTTGGTAAGTATAGTCAGAAATTATTATATTTATGTATATTAACTTTATATTTATATTATAAAGAGAATTTAAAAATATACATATTGGGCCTTATGATTAAAAACTTAGCAATTGCTTTTCTTAAACCTTCAGATCTTTTACTTAAATTTAATTGATTAAATCGAGTAAGAGGTCGGAAATAAAAAATAAAACAATTGCTTAGTTTTTATTTATAAGGCCCACTGTACATTATTTTTGTTAATGGCGTTAATCGATTTGGCAAGTGAAGCATTCATATATGTATGTATGTATATTTATTTGCATAAATGTACTCCATTCGTGAGCATGCGGTACTTGTGCACTTAGTTGTTTTTGACGTGCCTATTTTAATATGTCCACCGAAATGCATACATACGAACATACATACATAGTATGTACATATGTATGTTCATATACATACATCAATGTACTTGCTTGACTCGAAGTCACTCACTTTAAGTGCTTTTTGGGTACATTTTCGGTGCAAGTGTACCCAGACAGCAGCACTGTCGCTACTGACGTGTTTACTGGATATCATTTATTTTTATCACATACAGTCAAACACAAATATTTGTTAGCGCGGCTAACAACAGCAAAAAACAAGACAGGCAACGAAAGCATAAACCACAGAGTGAATACCAACAAACAAATGTGGCAGCGAATCATTTGTTTTTAGTTTGGTGTTTCGTGTTATTTGCCTTTCTAAAAAAAAAAAAAAAAAAAAAAAAAAAAAAAAAAAAAACAGACAAATGCAGAGTTGACAAGTAATTTGGCACCAATTTCTTTTCCATATAATGTATACTTGGTATGTACCTATTTGAAATTGAGATCTAATTTAACCCTTGACAACCCAGTAAGCCTTCGTAACGTATCAGACCAGTAGTGTCTAACGGACACACCAAACAAATCTAATGCACAAAAATGCATTGTGATTGCAAAAAATATGGAATGTTATACTATAATATACTTCAATATAATCACTTTAATGCATTATTAATTTATTTACAAAGGCATTTTGTCGCCTGGGTAAACGAGTAAAAAGTGTCGTTAATTTTGTAGAAATTTCGATCACATTTTATCGTATTTCATACAAAAATGCTGCCAAATTGTGGACAAATAACGCTTACGACAAAATTTTACGAAAGAAAATCCTTCATAAACTCAAAACTAATTAACAATAAACGTTACAAATTTAAGAATTTTGTAACATTTTCAGATTTTGGAGAAAATCTATCTTCGCGTTTTTGAGAAATTGCATTCAAACTTTCATCGCGATTTTCCACAACCTGCCGAAATTAACATACGACAATCTTTTTCCCAGGCGACGATTTGTACTGCAAAAAAAAAATTATAGCTAGTTGCATTATGCATCAATATTTTAATTTTCGTGTTACTTTGATATATATTTTTTTACAATGTTCAGGACAAACATTGCAATTGCGTTTATCACAACATTGTTTAGAAGTTCTGAATATTTTTGAAGGAAAAATATGACAACGCCTCTTTCTTTTTGGGAAAAAATCAAGTGATTGAGGAGATAATCGTCGATCTAATCCAGCCAAACCTGTATGACAGACTTTTAAATATAAATATTAAACTAGAGATGCATAAAACCTAGGTGATAGATTAGATAAAATGGATTTTCGGAAAAATAAATACTTTGGGTTTTATACTGTGGGTTGTTAAATGTTAAGTAGAAAAAAAGTGCACGAAATAATGATTTGAAATCAATTTCTTCGAAAAACTGATCATGAAGAGTTAATCAAGGAAAAGTGGTTTAAATTCTGATTGGATGTATATGCCCAAACCAATAAAGTTGCTCAAAAAGATCATAGTATACATGCGCCTACTATAGCAGAATTCTTGCAGGGTACATACGGATGTATAGATGCACTAATGCCAAAAATCGGTGGCTGCTACATAACAAATTACATGAAATTTATCCCTCATAAGCCTGTTGTCTAACTATTTTCAATAAATAACCTTTATTCAGTATCGCTAAAACTGCTGATTGTCAAAGTCATTTAACAGGCGTTACCTAGTCAGTTATAAAACTTTCTAAAGCTAATTGATGTTATTTACGGAGTTGTATCTGTTTATTCACTGCATGACGACCACTTTTATTGCACTCAAATTATAATCATAATACCAAATCATTTTATATTTCTATGACTCATCAACTTAAGAGGTTTTAATGTTCATACATATTTATTAGCAAAACGTACTCCGAAAGAGTATTATTTGCAGCTGCTATTTCATAATCCTATTTATTGTGAATATATTTCTCGTCTTCAGCTTTTATTAAGAGAAAAAGCTAATTGTTTCATTAATTTTCAACGATAGCAGGGTCACCGTTGACCGGACCAACCCAGATTTACGTCTGGCCAATGTATGACCGTCATCTACACTCCCCCCAGCCTGTTTGGGGAATTTTTTATAATCTTACAAGAACGATAAATGTCACATCTTTTAAATTTAGCAAGGAAAGAAGAGCATAAAGAAAACAGAACTTGTGCTTTCCTAATTTAATGAGATTTTAAGTTTTAAACTATTGCAAAAGAGAAACACAGGAGTTCCTACAATACACTGTGCCTTTCCAATCCCAATCCAATGCGACGCCATTTCCAGACCCAAATATTCCCTCTCCTCTAAGCTCTTCCGAACCTTTTAAGCACCATAGGTTTAACGGAAGTGAAGCAGAGGACATAATAGATTCCTAGGTCACAGTGCTCATCTCCTTTCAATTTATGGGGGTTTAAAAGTGCTTAAATAAGTCATTACCGTCATAATAAATAAAGTGTCATGTTTAAAATACTTAACAATATAAAGATGTATGATTACAACAAAAGTAAAACTATAGATGATGAGTTTACCTTATAATACTGGCGGAATAAGCAAACGTAATTGAGCTGGTTTAAATGAGTTCGCAAAATATGAATGCAGCCACTTGGTTAAAGTTGAATAGATTATGCACTTACACAATGTTTCAAAAAGTATTTAGCAAAATATCTCTATGAAATAATGCAATGCGCTCACAGCAATAAGCTGGTGGATGGGTGTTGCACTTGCGATTCTATTTTTGGGATAATGACCTTCGCGGAAGATTTCTGCACAGCCGCTACGCCAGTGCGTGCAAATAGTTAAAGAAAAACCCCCCTCCTTGTTCGCATAAAATGTCCCTGCGTTCCGTATTAACAATTTTTGTAATGGCTTAGAAAATATTTCATGCGCCTTTTGACTTTGTTTGCTTCCAATTATGTATTTATTTTTACTTTGGATGCACCTCCTCAATTACACAAATTTTTTCTCAACTTCCACTTCATTCGCGTACAAACGAATTAATAAAACTAAATTATGACATTTCGCGTTCACTTTCAACATTCGTAGGCTTATTTATTTGTGCATTTTTTAATTTCTTTAATTTTTGCGTAAAATTACTGATTTAACATCCCCGAAGTGTTTTCCATCAATCATCAATGAAAAACTTTTTGCAATCTCTTTTGTGCCCGTTTCCAATCAGAATAACGCAGAGTTGCTTAGTCGAGACTCGATCAAAGTCGTGCAGGGTTGCAAATACAAGACGACTAGCTTTTAAAAAACTAAAAATTTTATTTGAAATAACAAAAAATTGCGATTAGAATCAAATATTCGAAATGGGATTAAGCAGATGGTAACAACAGAGTAGCTGTTTTACTTTTTTCAATTTTTTTTGGTCGATAACCCGAATTCCATGGGTATTAGGGCATTTTTCAATCAAATTACAAAATATTGCGTTCTTCGACCAAATTCTGCGGTTCTAACTTGTATTACGATTGGAAACTCAATTCGATTCAATACGGAGTAGACCTCCTAGGCAGGGCGTTGTTGAAGTTTTCTGATAGGTAGATCTTCCACTCAGTCGTCGATATATATGTGATATTAAAAAGTCAACGTGGCAAAAGGGGCCAAGGCACATTGAATTTTGCCTTCGGATCAGCCTTGAAAAAAGAACATTTTACCAAGTTACCACTATAGTGGTTCAACAAAAACATACAGCAAAAATTCAAACATCCAAATAATACCTTAAAGGTTTTGGACCCTTCCTATAAAAGTTTTAAATATACTCAATGTCCGAACAGCTTCCCTTTACCCATTAGTCCCATAAAGTGATTATTTTCTTTAGCATAAAGCAACACTTGTTTAGCAAATAAAAAAAAACATTTCTTCCAGTTAAAAATCTTGAAAACTGCAATTTTATTGAAGTATATACATTTAGAAAGCCCTGCAATAAAAACAAATGAAATATTAGTCAGTGCACCGGCCGCTCTGTTCATTTGCACACACTCACTTGGTGATCAAACCATCCTTCTTGGCCAAACGCACAATACAATCATCGGATTCACCCATACGACGGATCTCACCACAGATAGCGTAGGTCTTAGCACCAACAGTCATGCGGCCAGTTTCAGGGTCAACATCAACAATATTCAATTGCACTGAAGCATGATCCTTGGCGTGGATGATTCTGTTAGAGGCAGAGCTGTAGAATAAGGATGGGAATTCATATTAGTTAACTGGAAATGCAATTGCTGCTCCTCCGCCACAGCTAGCAAACACGTGTTCACCTACCATTTCCTGGGGCAGTACAAATCAACAGACTCGCCGGCGTCGTTCTCCATTTTTATTACTGCAAATAAACAAAGAATTGATAAATACATATTGGTACATGTCTTAAGATAATATTTACACAATAAATTTATATAAATAAGCTTACTTTTGGTACGGAAACAAAAATTTGCTAACACTCGTCAATGGAGGCAGAAAAAGAAAGAAAGAGAAGGTAAAAATTTGTCATTTGACATTTGGATGAGGCTTAACTTGAGTGAAGTTGGCTGACGTTTATGTCACGATAGAGATGCCACTTACTTTGCGAAAACCATCAGATTTTTTTAAATTAAAAAGTAAAAGAAAAAAACTTAAATAAAAAATTAAACCCCTCTAACCAAAGATAAACAAAATTGAAACCGAAAAAAAATTAAAACAAATAAAAATAGTAATAGAAAAAATAAAATAGTATAAAAAAAAGTAAAGTATAAATATTAATATGAAATGAAAATGAAACAAAAAAAAAAAGAAAATTAAAAAGTAAAACTATAGAAGATAATATAAATATACAATAAGTAAAAAATAGTAATAAAAATAAAATAAAATTTATATGTAAAATTAGAAATTAAAAAGCTAAAGCAGTACAAAAACTAATATAAAAAATTTTGTGAAATAAAATACAGGAAAATAAAATCACAGAATACAAATAAATAGAACAGAACAGAGCCAAAATTTAAAATGTGGTTTATTAAACAGATTTTTGTGCGAAAATTTTATAAGAAATTTGATACCAAATTAAATTAAAAAAATTTCGTAACTTTAAAAAACAAGAAATTAAATAAATTGAAAAAATAACTAAAACAAAATAAACTTAAATACTTAATACTTATGTATACACATACTTTTACATATGTACACATTAGGAATGCCAAAATATCAGGAAAATTGGGATCCTGGGATTTCGGGATATTTTTAGGTAATCCCGGGAACCCGGGATTTATCCCGGGATTCAAATTGAGTCATAAATTGTATGAAGTATGAGTAAAAATTCAATATCTGAAAGCATTTAAACATACCATGAAATAAAATTATTTAAAATTTACGATAAACTGATTGTAAAACTCATATATCGCTAGCTTAGAGTGAAAAGTTGTTAACTTCACTTTTAATGAAAAATCATATTTTGATATAGGAGGCATAAATTAATATTGCATCGTTTCGAAAAGGGTAAAGGTCCTTGTTCTATGTTTTCTCGTTTATATTCAATGAAAGGAAAATTTGTTAAGGCCCAGAAAAGCTCCGAAAATTTGATAAGGCCAAAAAAGTTCGAAATCTTTTAATAAAGATCGAATCCCTCTGATTCGTATGGAGTTTTGCTTTGCTTTAAACAGGCAAAATGTTGTATTCAAAGTTTTGCAAAATACTTGAAGAAAATGGCTATACGAAGTTTTTTCCTCTCCTGTACAATTTTTAAATTGGGACTTAGCAACTTTGCACTCTACGCTAGCGATATTTATTTATTCAATCAGACAAATTTTAAAGTAAAACATTTTTTTTTAATTGTATTTAAAAAACCATGTGATTGAGGAACGTATACATCACAAATAATAATTTAAATACCAGGTACTTTTGAAAGTAACGATTAATAAAAAAACATAAAACAAAAAATATACAAAAACAATTTCTCTACTCTATAATGAAATGGCGAATGGGGAATTTTTTGCCATTTTTTTCACAATTAACTAGAAATTTTGGGGGTGTACGAGTCAAACGGATCTCAGAATCGGGTCGAAAAACATTTTGGTAGGTGGGTCTGGTTAAAAATACACACCCCTTTTTCCGGTGTTGTTATTATTGCACTTAAAATGTTTTCATAAGAGCAGCAAAGCATTCAAAGCGGAGTCTTCCAAGCTTGATCTGCAGTTTTTACATACAAAACCTACTGATGAAAAACATATTTCCGCATCAACACTTTTAGGCTGAACTTCCAAAAAGTAGACATAATCCATTTGAAGATAATGACCCCTATCTCCTCCATTACAAAATAATTGAACTTCTTTTACCAGCATGTTTCTCGTTTTTCGATTTGAGGAAGTTTTGAGTAGATTGATCTAAAAAAATATCTAACTTTTCCTTAAAACTCTCTGTTTCGTTTACATTAGCGACGCTATGAGTAAGTTCATTGAAATCTTCTCCAAAAAAGGCTCAGACTGCAATTTAAAAGTACAGTTTGAAGCTTTTTGTTAATTGCAGTCAAAACGGCATTTTACAAAAATCATACTTCAAAATTCATAAACAAATTCTTACTATCAATTCGATATTTCAAAATTTTCGGGATTCCGGGACGTCAAAAACACCGGGTTCCCGGGATCCCGGGATTGACATCCCTAGTACACATATAAGAATTGAAGTTAAAAAGCTAAACCAGAACAAGGAAAAAAATGAATTATGAGAATAAAAATAAATATAGCAAAAAGATAAAATTGAAAACTGGTTCATTAAAAATATTTTTGTGCGAAAATTTTGAGAAATTTGGTACAAAATTAATTTTATAAGTTTAATGTGGCAACGCTGAGATGTCAACGAAGATGATGTCTAATTTTAGGCACTTTGGCTAACAGTTGTGGCCAGCCGTTAAAGCTGTCCTGTGCAAGAATTTGCTGCTTACGTGTTTTTTATTGTAAATTAAAAAATAAAAACAAAAAAAAGTTGAGTGAAATATAAAATAATGAAACTGTATAATTTGGTTAAAAACGCTTAAAAGTATGCCACGATGACGGAAAATTTTTATTGCATACTAAAAACTGATTCTGGAAAAAATTTGCCTGAACTGCGTGCACAAAAAAGTTATGAATAATTTATAAAACTATAAGAAATTAAAATATGTATGTAAGTATATATATTTCAACGATATTTCTGAGCGAGCCTAAGAAAATCACTGATATTCTCGAAAGGTTTGTATTTTGCAAATTACGCAAATAAATTTATTGATTAAACCCTCTAAGCAACAACAATTCCATTGAAAACACTTGAATCGCATTAAGTAACCACAAAAAAAAAACACACATTCACAGAAACAAAAGGATGTTGCCAAAAACAAAAACTTTTGGGGTATGTTAAGTAAGAACAAAAACAAAAAATATAAAATGTTGAACAAGCTAAGAACAGATTCATTTGAACTTTTAACACTCGCCCCATCCCCTAGGTGCAGCCGGCAGCCAACCTATTTTTTCATTTCTCTCGCTTCCTGCCATGTGGCGAATTTGATGCATTTGTGTGCACTTTCGTAAGGAGGCAAGTGGTATTTTAGTGTTGATTTAACGCTCCAGCCAAGGTGTATTAAACAAGGTGGTGTTGGGGCGCCAGCTGAGTTTTTCGCCGTGGAGGCCATTACGTCAAAATGATGTGTTTGTTGTAACTCATACCAATGACAGTATGGACATCAGCGTATAATTTGTTAGTGTAATTTTTTACTTATATACGGCCAACACCACCTTGTTAAATACGCCTTGGCTCCAGCCATTTGTCAACTCACGCTCTAATCGAGGCTTTGCATTCGCCCACTCCTTTGTGCTGTTCGGCAGCCTAACTGCTTCACTGATTAACTGCCACCCTGCCTGGCTGGCATTTTATGCAGTTTGCCTGTTCGTCCACATCGGCTGCCTGCTCGTGGATGCATATTTGCATATATATAAACAGACAAACGCATACATAAGTATGTAAATTTAGCGATGCACTTTAAAGTGTCCAAAGGCCTACAAATTCCCTGGGATGAGTGTGCGAACAGCCAACTGGTGTAGTCTACTTGTAGGCTGTGAATATTTTACTGCCTTTATTTCCATGCTGCTTCTTGCTACTTCCTCTTACACAGCTTTTCTCACTCACTGTCTGACACTGTTGCCAACTTAGTGCTTTTCGCACTAAATTTAGTGCTTTTCTTAATTCAACACGCGAAAATTTTTGATTTTGGTGCTTGGTGCGTTTTTTGGTGTTTTTTTTTTTTTAGTTTGAAGACACCAAAACTGTAAATCTGAAAAATTTAGTAAGTTAAATTTAGAGCAATTGGAAGTTTCGTAAAGAACTTTACAAAAATGGAAATAATATTATGGCACAATAACAATCATAAGCGAAAGAGCATCTGTTTGTCAAAAAAAAAAAAAAAATATGTGGCAGCACGTTCAATCGTACCAGAATTACATACGGTAATTTGCCATTGCCTGCAAAAACGTCCATGTTGCTGGGACCAGGAATCGATTTTTAGACCTTAAGTTTGGGCTGAATTTGTTATATTTTTTACGAATATTAAACAAAGCAATAGCATCTCCTAACAGTAAAATGAATAATCGAGTAGGCAGCTTTTTTTACACAAAACGATTTTTTCCACTATGCGCTTCACTTTAAAAAGGGGAAACTTCCACACTTCCACATATTTCCTGAAACTTCATTTTTTGTTGTTACTTTCGTTTGATAGGAATTGTATAACAAATTAAGCAAAAAGAAGAAAAATTAATATTTACACAGCGCAAATTTAAGCGGAACGGCAACGCGGGGCACAGCTGGAAATTGGAAAATATGTAAGAACAAAAATGATTACGTCGCGTCGTTTGGACGAATATATTTGAATTTATAGAAAACAGAATAAATTCGACCGCCGAGCAAGAAACATAAATTTTTATTAATTTGAATCGGCATAAAATTTTATATGCATACAAAGTCCATTAAATCCTCCAATAAAAAATTTGGTGCTTTTTTCGAGAAAAAACGTGATTTTCTTGGCTTTTAGTGCTATTTCAAACTCAAAACTTGGCAACACTGCTGTCTGATGCCTGCACAGGGATGCCGTTTGGATCTAAATAGATCCAATTGGATACATTATTAGACGAATTTTTGCGTTATACTTATTTTTTCCTATCAGTATAAATGTGGATACTTTTTTAAATCGGCCAAAATTTTATATTTTCTATAAAGTTTTTTTCGTTCAAAAATAGATTTTCATTATCGACGTTTTCTAAATGTTATAAAAATCGCTACTTAAGCGTGAAATTAGAGCGTTTTATTTTTTGTGAATGAAGCAATGAACATATGAAGAGATCTCACCAAAGCAGTGTAATAAGAGCTTTAACAGACGGCAGCGTTGATCCGGATCAACTCGGGAATTAATTGCAGTTAATCCGGATTAAGTCCCAGTTAATCCCGTTCAACTCGGGAATTAATTGCAGTTGATCCGGATTAAGTCCCAAATAATCCC